GCCTTGGTTTTATGTTTGTTGATATTCATTCGTAAGTTACATCCACAACCTCAAAAGAAATGATTTTCTCCTTGAGATTTTTATCCAAGTCACCCACTGCTACCGTAGAAATTGCTACCACTAAAATATTAGTTAATGCATCATCAATTTTTGTCCTTGTAAATGTCTTTCAATTCCTGATAAATTACTTTACACCTTAACCTTCCCAAATGGTAATCTTTGCGTAAACTTCAGTCTAGTGTGAAGGCATTATAATAACCTTCATATGAATTGTGTCTCACTATCTACCATGAGAATATTGGAAATCTTTTTAAGTGAATAGGGAATAACATATTCTGGGGAGTAGTGGACAGCTATTTTGTCTCAGTTAAGCAGAGAGCCACTCAGCGACGGTCGTCTTAAAAATCACCAATTAGTAGAAGTTGGAATTTATCGGCCGTTAAGACGAGTACTAGTGGCTTAATAGTCTACGAGTTCATAAAAGGATAAAACTTGGGCACTGTGGTGGAGTATAATCCCATTATGGATAAAATTTTATTTTGATAAAATTTCACAGTGTGTTAAACAGTAATATTTACTGATGACGACGTCTCGACCACAATTTATTGCCGCTCATAATCATATCAAGGCACTACCCATCACATAACTTTGTAGCTTCGTTTATATACATGAGTAAAAATTGATTGAACAATTGAATCAAGGCAATACAAGAAAAAGTACATCCGGAAATAATATTAGTGTTATCAATAAAATACAATAAGATAAGATATGAGATGTTTTTATATTAAAATAAATAAGTAACTTGTTAGAATGTTTTAATGTATGTGAATTGAATGCATTTTAAGGTCATTTATTATTCTCCTCTGATTTGACTGGTGGTAATAATATTTTTTCAATATCTCTGGTATTAGTGATGATGAGTCACTTCTATTGCTTGTGTTGTGTTAGGTGTGCGGACTCGATGAACCAGGATTCAGTAATTAGCCTCTCTCCACCTACTTATATTAATTTTTAGAATTTTATCTCTGTCCCACCATCCTATTGTGTGGTTGTGTGTTAATGCATGTAGTACATTGAAAGGTATTTTGTAAATTATATTATTTTATCTAATTGAATCCACCGGGTCCTTTAACGTGCGGAGCTTGTGCTACCTGAGTGAGTTTGTAGGTTTGAATGCCACTCTAATTCCTGCTTTACTGAGAATCCTACGTGTGGTCTCAGACGTCCCCTCCTTATGTGGTAAGACTATAGATGCCTTATATATGTCCAAACCAAGTTCACCTTTAACAGTCTTATATTTTTTCTTAGTTATGTAATCATTATTGGCTTCTCCATTATTTTTATTTTGCTTTTGACCTTTTTTGATATTCCTAATGAATTTTATAGGATAGTTATTTGATACCAACGCCTCTTCTATCTGTTTCATTTCACCGATGCGTGAGTGCCTTGGTATGACTATGAGCAGTAATAAATTGTGATCGAAACGTGGTCATCAGTAAATATTATTGTAAAAATAAAATTTTATCTATAATGAAGTCTACGAGTTCGTCTTGTAACCTCAGGATGCCGGTTTCGAACCCTGGCGATGCATGTGAGCTGGTGAAGAATCTTATACTATGACGAAACATCTGTTCACTATCCCCAGGTTTACGGTGGTCCTCCAACTGAATTCAGTTCGTCGTTAATGAATCTTGAAATCTCTCTAATTTCGGAAAACCAACACTTAAAGAATAGTAATCTCCAAAGCAGTTTAAGCATTTACCCAATAAACTGTAGTATTAATGTAGATTCAAATGGGTTAAACTCCTGTAGTTATTCTTAAAAGTGATCAACAGTCATAATAAAATTAAGATTTAACCATTTGGAACTTTCAATGTAGGTCATCTGGAAGACCAAGTTTATCATGAGGAAATCGAACAAGTGTGATATTTATTTATTTATCCATTCCTTTTTCCCATTTATCTTATTCTTCATTATATCTTCTTTTTATTCTAGGCAGCTAATTGAACTTAATTTTCGTATTTCACGCACAGTTATGAATGTGAAAAAAATATCGGCTGAAAATATCCAAGTCGCCATAAATCATTAGTTTAAGAAAATGTACATTCAAATTTTTTTCTATGCCTCTTATATACATCAGTCTAAAGAGAATGCAATATGTCTAAATTATCTAATAAACACTTTTCCAAAGCTGGGAAGTTTTCTAAAATGAATTCATAATGAAACATACGTTCTGTGGGGAATTATCTGCCAAATTCAAGCGATATGCTCAAATATACGACTTGAAATTCATAATTTTGCAAAATTATTCGCAATTCGCATTTTATGCGAAATCTCGCCAAACTTTCATTTAGAAACCTAAACGCTTCATCCACCACCTGTGGTTTGCTTGATACCATGCGCTGTACTACTAACTGATCGATTTAAGTAGTCGTTTACCACTCACAAAATAATAACAATAATAGCTTTATTCCATACAGTGCTTTTGGTAAAAATATGGTAACACATTTAATTTCCTCATTACAGGGGCAATAATTTAAATGAGGCATTTACATTAAAAATAATTTCCATTAATAGTACTGTCCAATGAGAAGTGAATATAAAATTAAATCAAGTGAAAATATTGGCGACAGTGTAATAATGAGAACAAAAAAAACAGTTGCGATCATGGAGAGTTCCGCAGTAGGTTGGTAATTTCCTGCCTTACACTTTTTTCATCACATAAAATGTGTGCTAAATAAGGTATTGTAGAGTTTTTGTAATTAGTTATCCGAGCAATTAGTCTTCTGTAGTTGCTTCTAGTTCTACTCGATGAGATGCAAGTGTAGAGAGAGAGTTGTATGTGGAGAGGATGTTCACAGTCAGACAGGATAATGTTTGCTAATTTCCTGCATGAATCAATGTGTCTCTGTACGACAGTATTAACAAGCTGGTTTAGCAACACCCCACTCTCTCTACTGACGGCTTTTAGTGCCCTTCACAGTATAACAAGGTCTTTCTTAAGTAACCCAGGAAAGATTAAAGGAGGGCAGTACAGAAGAATAGTCAGAATGCACGAAATAACAAACTGCCACAGTAGAGACTGAGTGATACCAGATTTTGTCGACTTCCTTACGCAGAATGTTGAGCAAAATATCTTTCAAGAAACTAACATGATGTAGGAAGATCCGGAGACATCAGAAGAAATTTGTAATCCAAGATATCTAACATTCGATTCAGTTTCATGTTCTCTGGCATCTATGATAGTGGAACTGTACCGACTAACCAGTTCATGTGAGTCGTGTTCGTGTCGGAAAGTAAAATTAGGGAATAATCCAAGACAGTTTGACAAGGACTACTGACTAATTTCTGATAAAAAGTTACTCATTTTGAAACAGTCTGATCTGGAACCTACAAGCACAGAAACAGTCAGATCATCGACATACTTGACAAAATTGGCTTCGTCAGAACCGTCAAGTTACATGGGAATAACTAGAAGAAAAGGAAAATGAACATCCCCCTGAGGAACACCAGCTGGAGTAAATGAAGCAGTGGAGATCTTGCCATTGTAAACAATGTAGTGCTTCTTATCAGAAAAATAAGAATGCAAACATTTGGCAATCCAGCACTGTGCCTATGATGCAACAAGCTTGTTTAACAAAAGAGACCTAGGTTAAGAGTCATATGCAGATGTTTAATCTAAGAAAGCAGACAGAACATATTAGGCACCTCTGTTTAAGCTAGAGACAATGTCATGATATAAGACGACAGTAGCATCTAAAGTTCATCTCCTATGTTTATAAGCAAATTGATTTGGGTCATCAAAAGCCTTCCATGAAGGCTCAAGGTTAAGTAAAAGCAGTCTTTCCATTATTTAAAAAAAAGGTGAAGTAATGTCAATTTGTCTGAACTATACAACTCGTCCACTTGAGGATTCAGACAAAGGAACAATTTTAATGTCCTTCTAAGAAGCACTAATCTTGTCTGCTAGTCAGACTTAGCCGATCTAAACACCGTTTGACGGCCATTTGGCTCGTTTTGGGCCGAACTCAACAGCCGTGCGCCCGGTCGGACTCTGCTCAGATAACTCAGCCAGTTCAAACCATCTGCCAACAAGCTCGGCCCCGGACAATCGATATTTGTCTAAATAACGTCAAAAATATCCAATACAGTCCTACAGGAGGTCAGTTGCGAGCCTGAATAACTCAGTGGTAACGTCTCTGACTGCAGCACTGGGTGACGCGGGTTCGAATCTCAGAAGAGACATCAGTTCCTTCAAGGTTGCATATACGTCTTGCTGATGAGTGCCAACTAGCACGAAACCTGGGTCCAAGACGTCCTGCCGATTGCCTCCAACCATCTAATACCAACAATTCACAGTGCACCTTAATGGCGAGCCACCTAGCCTGGTGGCCACATTCCAAACATGACTGATAGGATTCAGTCTGCACCGAAGATAGGACTAGACACATTACACTAGTTACTGACTAGTGTACAATCAAAAATAAATAACGTCAGTTTGAATATCAAGCACCACCGGTTAATGTAAAAATAGCATAGAACTATTCACTTCAATCAATTAATAGCATATAATTTCATGTATAGACAGCTTCAGTTTCAAAATATCTAAAAATCTAGAGTTGCCTAGCACTTTCCAGTAAAATTGTAAAATGGCACAATAATAACTTTTCAAACAGTAGTCCAAACAGTCAGCTTTTATGTTAAAATCTCAGGAAGATAATTGCAAACAACTCACAGTGAGAAGAACCTTAAATTTAGAGTCCCGCTTATTGAACAATAGAGATTGTGGTCGTGCTCTCTGAGCTGAGGGATTCAATTAAAGAGCTTTCACTGTCTTTCTGGACCACATCTTCAACTCAGACCTCAGTATGAAGGTAAGAAGAAACTTTTGCAACTAAACCACCCAGTTTACAGTACACAAACATACCAAAATGCATTTTATATCTCAGTGAGCAAGACTGATTACTTTAAAGCTGAAATTACTCCTTAATTTAACTTACTAGATTGATTACTTCGGTCGCTATTACTCATACTGTCTTCAGTTGCCTTGTTTGCTTTGATCCATGGTGATTGTAAATGTCCATTGTTAGAGTGATTTGACTTCTGTTGATTGAAGAGTAACCTTTACGTCAAAAGAAGAAGGAACATGGAATGGAAAGAACGATGACATATTTATAGCATAATCATAGCAACAGAAAAGTATACTCATAAGAAAATAATAACTTACGATAATTTGCACTCCAATTTTAACTGTTTTTAATAATTGTATCAGTAATATTATTAACAGCTTTACTCTGAAAGTGGTTTATACGCAGTTTAGCGTTCTCAGAGTACATTACTCTACATTATTTATTGCATACAAAGAACCTTCAAAGAGAGTAGTAACTGATAACATATAGGTTCAAAAAATATTATTCTATTTTCAAGTATTGGTTTGTAGGATTTTGTTTGATTGGTTGGGGGATTTCATCACTAGCTCACTAGCGAATGCCACCATTCAGACAGTCATCTGGAGTTCTAGTGGTTCTTAATTCATATGATTATGAACAATAAATTTTGTTCGAAACGTCGTCCAGTAAATAATACTGTTTCACTGAGTGCTGCATCTAATAAACACGCTAATATGGAGTTCTAGTGGGAAGCCATGACAGGTAGGTTACAGCAGGTTGAAGGTAAGACAGTAAATCATTGAAGAAGACATTGCGAAGTGATTGCGCTATGTCTTGAATTGGCTGGTTATTTAATCCGGTCTCAGTGGCTTAGTGGTCTCCGAGCTAGCTTGCCTTGTAAACAGAAGGTTCTCGGTGCAAATCCTGGCGGTGAGTGCTTGCTGTTGAAGAGTCCCAAACTAGGCTGGCGAAACAGCTATCCAGTACTCCCATGTTTTCCAATATTATCCTATCCTTAGCATCCATTTAATTCGGCAAATTAATAACACTAGGTTGAAAAATAATTTAAAATCTGTCAGTGTATAAATCGGGATTCCATAATGTAATCCGAAGATTTAATTTGTATGAAATAGAGTGTGATATATTTTGGTGGATTAAAAATTAGGTAGACCGGTGGCTTAACCGGGTCACTATATTAATTGATTAATTTTAAGCCAGTTCTTCTATATGGGCCAGAAAGTTGGTGCTAGCGTCAAAGAAAGCCTATTGAATAGGTTGCAGACTTTAATCAGCAGCTGTCTTCGCTTGATACTGAGGAACAGAGAGCCAGTCGGAAAGAATTAGTTGCAAAAACTCTGGTAATTATCCAACCAAGAAGCTGTTGATCAACAAATATGCAGTAAGGAAATGGAGATGGATCGGACATACGTCGAGATCTTCAGATGTCATAGCTCGCCAGGCCATCGCTCGAGTGGGTGGACTCAAAAAGTAAACAATGAAATGGTCGGGTATCCAAAGTTGACATTGAGGAGATCGTAAGAAGAGGAGACTAGAGGTTACGGTCAATCATGAGGCCAGCTTGTCAGAGTTGCAGAGAATAATTTATTTTTTAATTTTTGATTATAGCTTGAAATCACACAGTATCTTTGGTACAAGTATGGAATTTTCAGCATATGATATCGGTGGCCAAAATTTTGCAGGCCAATCATTGATATCAGTTGTGCGTCCGCATGGGATCGAAGCCCAGACCATTTGCATGCTTGGCGAGAGTCCTAACCGCTGTGCTACCGACACACAGGACAAGGTGAAGATGTGCTACAGAAGTCCTATATTCTACTCAGAACCTAGGGGAACAATAATAATGAATAAATGCTAATTAAGACCATCCGACTAATCGGAAAAATTTACTTCAAATTTCACTATGGATTGATATCAGTTAGAGAACCATTGAAAACAAACTAAGGAGTACTGGATAGCTGTTTCATTCTAGTTTGAGCATCATCATCAGCACGCCCCCACTCCTGCCGTTCGAATCCAGTTGCTTTCTGTCACAAGGCTCGTAGACTGTCCAGCCACCTGAACCTGAATCAATGACCCATGAATCTTAACTTCTACCACTTCGTTATTTTACCGTGACCACCCTACACTGTCATCGCTTGCGAGGGTCTGTCCTTCTCTCTCGACTGGATGGATTCCAGTGGAATTATTTAATTTGGTGTGGATGTTTGTAGACAATAATGCTTGCAACTGTTAGTTTTAAGGGAACGCATTTCAAATACGCTTTGGAGTGAACAGAAATTAAACATAGCTTAAAGTATCTGAGAAACAGACACCACTGAAGGTGCACACACAGCGTTTTCCTTTTCTCAGAATCATTGATAAAATGTTGACCTGCCTAGCTCTAATTCTGACTTTATCCGCTTCACCTTCAACCAGTCAAAGTGTGTAGTTGCAGAATACAAAACTTCAAATATCACCCAATCTCAAGTTTATTTGGGCATTCAGTGACTTAAAAGACATCAAAAGTTATCAATAATAAATTTAACACAACAAACGTGTTTTAGGTAGGGAAGCCTAAACAAAATCGTATTCATTGAGTTGAAGTATCAATCATTTCTTAATAAAGAAAGTATCACAAGGCGAAAGCAGCTAATCTACTTACTATGGACGAAGTGTTTGTTTATTACCACAAAGAGTGGGACGAAACAAGACAAATAAAAATCCACTGCAATTTTTTTCCACCGTGTGACAATCATCTTTACATTTTCAATTGATTGAGACTGGCTTTAGGCACAATTTTCTTATACTGAATCAAAGAAATGCTTTTACGCGATTTACAAACCTACTCTGATTTGGGACCTATTTCTTAGTATTATGAATGAAAATGAGGTCATGATTAAAGAAAACGTCAAGCATAAGATCTATGAGAGTTAAATCATGTTGCTAACAGGTAAGTAATGGTACATGGAGATAAAATAAACACCATTTCAGGTATGATCACCACCTGAATCCAGTTAGAGAACTATTAAAAACCAGCAAGCACCTCATTTGTCCTAGTTTGAAACTCTTCGGCTATGATCACTCACCAGAGATCAAAATTAGGACCTTGATGACACAGCGTCACTGGGGTGGAGCTGAATTGTTCGTCAATTCTAAATTCTGCTAATTTACCGCATGTAGCGCCTAAACGTTCGTCCCTACCGGGCTTACGAACTCCACAGTGGAAAGTGCATCGGCCTGAGATCAAAGCTTATACCAAGGGAGGCGCGATTGGCAAGCATTCAGCCGCTGAATCACCGACCAACAGTATACATATATACACTTGCCAGTCAGTGTCATCAGCCAAAGCGTTCTTATACAGAACTTGACGGACGCCATGGTTTTCAGTGGTTCTCTGAGTGAATTCAATTTGTGACCAAATTTGAAATCAATCAAACCAACACCTGAGAATTAAATTAGCGCTCACTAGTGTGTTTCACTGCAGCATGAAGTTCTGGTGAGATGAAGTGACCAATAAGGTTCACAAAGTTGGGTGTGGTCAAACACGCGCCAATAAAATTCACCAGTGGTTACGCCAAATATCTTAAATAGGCAAAAATTACATTTTATTGGTTATTGGATTTTATCTCAGTCTCTGAATAGTCAACGAGCTCACCATACTTTTCCATTCATCCTGTAGAAACTTTTTTCATTCATCTGCTTTTGGAGTGGAACATATCTCTCCAGGATTTAGGCTTCGAGTTTTCAGTAGCGTTGTTGTTGTTTTTTTCTCTACAGGGTGAGATGGCTAGCCTTACATGTAGTCTTTCCTATTTCCTCGACTTACAGCCAGCCATCAAACTATGGATGCATTGGTCGAGAATTCAACCAAGACGAAATGAGTGGATAGAAATTTTTCTACCGCTAAACAACTAACGCATTATTCCTCTGCCATTGACCAAAAATCAAGTTCATTCCATTTTCTGTGATTTTCGAAAGACAGAAATAGCGACAGACTGTTATTGTTATTCCCTGAATTCCGAGTGGAACAAGGGGCCTCAACACCACATTTCAATCTAATCATCTCCTCCTCACTAGCTGGATCCGTGATTGCCCATAACCCCTTATCTCCTGCTCGCACGGTTTCCTGAATTTAACCCTCGGGTCAACACCCAACTCGTCTTTTCCCAACATGGTTCCATTTGAGACGTCATTCGATGGTCTCCATAGCGTGTGTCCAATCCTTCTCCATTTCTTCATGGTATATTGATCGAGCAATAGGTTCTTGGTTGATACGTTCCAGTGCAGAGTTCCCTGATGCTAATCCTTCCTGACCAACCATCTTATCTTCAGTGTCGAGTGAAGGCCGCTGTTGCTAAATGTCTGCAACCTGTTGTAAACGCTTTACATGACGCGCCAAGTTTCCGACCTGTATAGAAGAAATGAATTAATATGCTGTTGCAAATCCGAATTTTTTATTTTACACTGACTTCAGAAGACTTCCAAACTTATATTATAGTAATAAATGTCTCATGACGACAAACGGGTTGTCATGTATTCACTCAACAGAATGAGCCTTTATAATTACGTGTTAACCTACTATGATATCAGTTAGAGAATAAACCAGAGAACTTGAATTGTTATTCGTCACTGAAATAATAGAGAAGATTTTTAGCTCAGGTGGATAATTTTAAATTAGTTGTGTTCCCTGAGCTGCTAGTTGATTTAACTTTTCTTGTTGTCCTGAAGGACAACAAATTGAGCGCAAGTTTTAGTATGAAATGGACTTATTTAAATTCTCCATGAATGATGCAATTGTATGTGAATTTGAATTGATCATTTTATTAACTTAGTATTTCAACTTTCTTGTCATTTAATTTTGGTCTAAATTTATGCCGTTTTTTAATCAGTGATTCACTTGAGTACCAGGCTTCTAGAGATTCTCCAGCATTACTTTTGATGTTTCCTCTTTTTAAAATCTCTACATTATCCCAGTCATCAAATTGGTGTCCAGCGATTAACAAACACATTACTACAGACAAAATTTACCAGCTAATAAAAAGTATATCATCACATGACAAGAAAGCTCAAATTTCAAGTAAATAAAACTGTTGAATAGAAAAGTAAATTAACAACCAGTCTGGACAGTGTTTGCCAGGAGATACAATTATATCATTCATGGAGAATTCAATTGAGTTGATTTTATACTGAAACCTTGTCTGAATATGTTGTCTAGAAGGGGAGGGAGGCAATG